GCAGTAGTCGTAGAAGTGGATGATGAAGAAGGAGAGTCTGGCATTGAGCTAACAGAGGCAGAAGTGACCGGTGTAGATGCCAGCTGACTTCCATTGGAAACTCCACCCTCTGTGGATTGGCCAACTTGACCTGAACTTCCTCCAGCTGCCATGTTGTTTATCACAGGCAATGCTAGGGTTACTCCACCAATGTTTATAGGTAAAGTTGTCACCACTTGTGCCTGAGTACCAGGGATGGTTTGCAATTGCAGTGGTATGGAAACACCAGGCCTGATTTGGACTGGGACCGTCTGATTTGCTAGGTTCTGAGCAATAATATTCCCCGAAGCTGTCCTATTTGAAGCCGTGAGGATAGCTTGATTATTTCCTGCAGGAATAAGCTGAATTTGACCCTGTATATCTTGTAGACCAGTAGCATTTGCAGGATTGATTTGAATTTGTTGACCTTCTGTTGTCTGAATCTGTGGTATCACTTGATACTGGACACTACCACTTGGATTTTGTACTTGAATGACTTGAAATTGTCCAGGGGTTGTTGCAGAAGAATTGCCCGATTTAGTTTTTGTAGGAGATGCACTCCCATTGTTACTGCTGGAGGGACTTGGTGTGCTTGAGGCAACGGAAGATCCCTGTTGAGCAACATTATTGTCCTTTGAAGCAGAAGGAGATGCAGCAACAAGCTGCCAAGAGTTTCCAGCGAGCTGAGTTGTTACTAATTCTAACTGTTGTGGCTGATTTTGAAGCTGCACCAACCCTTGATTTGGATCTATAATAATCTGCTGCTGTCCAGTTGCTTGATTCTCACCAGGAGTTCCTATTTTGCTGCAAGTGGCTGCTAGCAAAGCAAGAGGTGAAGGCTGAGAATCCTACCCAGAAAGAGAGAAAACAGAACAGATTCAGCAGAAAAGCATGGGCATTAACCATCAAAAGTAAGCATCCAGATTTACACAGAAAGTAGACAAAAACATGCTTCTGCATAGAGACCAATGATACAGCTCTGAATAAGGAAGTATATGTTTCTGTAAATAATCTTTAAATACAAGCCAATGATTATCAATGAGTACGTGACAACATATGTGCTTGCTCATCCAGTGTTTTTTTTCCAAAAATAAGGGCAAATTTTATAAGGACCTCTATTATGTGGAAAGCAGCTCATTGCTGCATACCGCAATCAAGAAGTACATCAAGACAGTAAAAATACTGCACTCCAACAACTAGGCTTCACCCAATCCAAAGAAAGATGCTCTCAGCAGGAAATGCTGCTAGCTGAACACTTAATTTTAAACGCTAATAGTTTGTGCACTTCCCAATTTGGGAGTGAGTGCTTTACCTGTGAGCCTCCAGTTTTCCCTTTTTTATTATTATTGTTGTTATTCTCTGCCTCGGGAGATTTCTCTCCCTCTGTGGGCATAGTTTCCTCCTTCTTTTGATCTGCAAAAATATCAAGTGTAACAGGTTAATTATTCACCTTCATTTATACAATAACAAAACCTACAAGCGTATCCTTTTTGGTTCCCAGCTTCTCACCCGTATCTCTCCGTAAAAACAACGGCGCAAACCATTATTACAAAAGAACCGAGTCCTGAGAAACGTGGTTTGAAACCCAACCCATGGGGGCTGGAGAGTTAACACCCAGAAAGGGGAGGTTTGGTTTCCTCTCCCGGAGACAGCAAGAGAAAACCACCCACAACCCTCCTCCTCCTCCTGCCCCCCGAAGCATCGGCCACTGAGTGGCCGTCGATGCTTCAGGGGGCAGGAGGAGGGTTGTGCATGGGAGGGAAGGAGGGAGGCAAAGAGAAATGAAGGAGGGAGGGATGTGCACGGGAGGGAGGGCTGCGAAGAAAGGGGGAACGGAGGAGGGCGGCACGGCGGGAGGAGGAGAAGAAAGGGGGCGCGGGAGGAAGGGCGGGGTGAGCGGGGGGACCCGGGGAAGAAACGGGGGGACGCGGGAGGGCGGGATGGAGGGGACGGAGGGTGGAGGGAGGAGCGGAGGGAGGGCGGGAGGGGTGTGCTCGGGAGGGAGGAGGGAGGGGGTTACATACCGCTCATCCCGCATTAATGCCCCGCTGAGGCGCCGCTCTAGGGGGGAGGAGAAGGAGGAGGAGGAGGCGGAGGGTGGGGTGGGGGTAGCGGGGAGAAGGCCGGTCGCAGCCGGAGCGGGGAGGAGCGGGACGGCCTATTTTTCCACGAATGGCCGCCGCTGGGCTGTGGCGTAGCTCCTCTCTCTCCGCCCGCCGCCGCCGCCGGCCTCAGCCCCGCCGCTTTGAGTGACAGTCGCGGGCCGGCGGCCGCCGCCGGGGGGAGGGCGCGCGGCGGCGGGGCGGGGCCCGCCGGGGCCCAACCGCCGCCCACTGAGGAGGAAACCGAGCCCTGCCGCCAGCCCCCGGCCGCCCCTCGCGCTCTCTCCGCCTCAGCGCGGCTCCCCACGCCGGAGGCTGAGGGGGCGGGGCGGAGGCGGGACGCGAGCCGGGCCCGGCGGGCGGCAAGGCAGCACAAGGGCGGCCTCGGCCTTCTTCTCCTCCTCCCGCTCGTCTCCGGGCCGCGCGGCGGGGGGCGGGGCTGCGCGGCGCGCGCGCTCGTGCGGCGCTTTGACAGTGCGGATGGGTGGGGGGGCGGAGGGAGGCGGGAGGAGGGCGGGGCCTGCGGCACCGAGGGGCGGGGGGAGGCCGAGACCTCGCTGCCGGCCTGCCCGCCGCGGCTCGGGCGCCGAGGGAAGGGGGAGCGCGCGAGTGCACGCCAGCGGCCAATCCAGCGAGGCGGTGGGCGGGGCCGCGCGCCGCACTGACCAACCAGGTTGTGCGCGCCCGCCTCGCGTTCCCCTAACTGACAGCGCGCGGGAAGCTCTGGCGCGGCTCTCGCTGTGGCGGGCCCCCGCCCTCCACGCTGGCCCCTCTCCTCCGAGAGACTTCCGTGGTTTCCATAGGGAAGCCGAGGTCCGCTCTCCCTTCCCAAGTTTGCACCGGCTGGTGGAGCTGACGCTCTCTAGGCGCACTGCTTGGGGGGGAATGGCTGCAGGGACCTCTTCCCCACCTGCCGGGCATATTTCTCACAGCCGGTGGCAAGGGGGCGGGGACAAGCCACCTCCCCATTGGCTCAGCTGCGATGGGGACGCGCGCGGCACGCCGGGATATGTAGTCCTGGGTGAGGGGCTGAGGGGCTGCCGCGTGGTGGGGACGCATGCGCAGAGCGACAGGTGTTCCTGGGCGTCCGGCTGACTTGCGGGCCTAGGCCGGGCGATGTGCGAGGGGGAGGCGGTGTCTGCGGCGGGCTGGGCTGGTCAGCGTCACAATAAAAACGTTAATTATGGTTGTGTCTTTGGTTTTCTCGGTAGGGTTTCCTCCAGTTCTCCGTGGCATTCCCCACTTTCCCATGACTGTTTCTGGAAGATACCTGGTTAAGTTGAAACTGGCCATGATGTGATGTGGTGGAAGAGATGATGAGTGCCCAAGAACTGACAGCCAGGCTAGGCTTGCTGACCCCATTTCAGTTTGGAAGGAATTTGATAGCAATGCCAATCTTTAGATGACAGCTTCCAATTTCAGCCCTCCAGTGCATCCTCTGCAATAAAGATGTCAAAATATGGAGCTTTTCCATCACAGACCAAGGAAATAATCAGAAATAAAAGTGCCCAAGCTATTACTGGGTGGTGCATGCTGTGGACATGCAGGTCACACACTGATGCATCAGGAAGTAACCTTACAAGCACGGTGATTTGCACCCAGATGACCTAATAGCAATACCTCACAGTGTGCCGTATTCACCTCCTAAAATGAGAGTCTGTATGAGAAATGGGCGGATAAGTTAGCCGGGCTACTCATCTTTGTCTCAGTGAGAGACAGATGTCTCAGAATCTGTACTCGTTTCGGAAATGTGGCCCTAAGGTGTAAAAGCACTGTCTCAGCTCAGTATGAGATTGAAGTGGCGGATAAAAGATGGTAGTGTAGGTGGCTTCAGTAGGGCATTGTGACTTTTATATCTTTATTATCCACAGTAACACTCCTATACCACCTACTCTTTCCCAATTTCAAATGTCACTCTTGCTCAAATTCTTCCTGCCAGTGTAAGCATTCTAAGCACGCCTCTTTTTTCATTGTTCCCATATGAACCAGTGCTCACCCTGTGCACCCCTCATACCTGTTGCTCCCTGCAGATTCTCACATAAGTCAGCAGAAGTTACCTGTTGAAAGAGATTATAACTCATGGTGTGTGTTCATTGACACAGGATTCCCATCTGCTGTTGGGACAGATGAAGGAAAAGTGTCAGAAATGAAAAATTAAGCAAAAAGTTTTCATCACAACTTCCCTTCAGGCTCAAACTGTGTTGATATCTGCAAACAGAGTACAACCTGCGTTAGCAGAGGCCCAATGAAGGGTAAGGATCCTGGAAAGGTATAGCTCAGGCATCACATCAGAAGGGGGTGCATAGTTTGAACTAGGGCCCAAACTAATAAAATTGACTTTCAGCTTGGCACCTCTCCCAGTGTTCTGTTTAACCAGTGGGGATTTAGCTCCTTGTTTTAATTTTTTAGTTCTCCCATCTCTGTATCCACATGTACAATTTTCTCTCTTATCAGTCCTAAATTTTCTGCCTTTCTCTCTTTTGATGAGTTTCCATAGTACTCTGATTTTGTTTTCTTCATTTTTCCCAGATTTCTCCTCTTTGTACTTACTTCCCTGAATCTTGTATTTCCCATTATTTTCTGCTCCCTCCTTCCTTTTGCATTTCTTTCTTCTTTTTCTTCTTTTTAGTCTCAAATTATATCCTATTTTTTGTCACTCTTGTTTTGTTCTCTAAAATATACCTTAGTGCCTGCATTGATTTTGTGCCTACCAAACAGTTTTAGATTTCTAAACTTTTAGGAGTTTCTCTGCTGAGCACAGCAAGGCTTGTCACACTGAACAGAGTAACACCTAAATATATTTACAAAGAAAAAAAAAAAAAAAAAAGAAAAAGATGGGGGCGTGAAGGGGGAGGGTGAGACAGCTGGCTGCATGCTCCAGTTTCATTGGTTATCCTCTCCGCTATCTGCCAGTACTTACATAGGTTGCATTTGGACAGAAAGGTCTGGGAGGCCAGCAGCTGTAAGCAGCAGAGACAAGAATGAGACGGTGGCTTCAGAAAAACTTCAGAAATCTGTAAATCTGGTTGTAGGGCAGCTGGTTGGATTGATAATGCTGCAGCCCTTAAACACAAAATGCTAGATTGGTATAAAACCATTCTGATGTAAGGTAGGTGTTGGTGGTAAGAATACATAAATAAATGAGGGAATAATTTTAATCTGGCAGGATTATGCAAGATCAGGTGTCAGATATCTGCTTTTCTGAAGTAACTTCTTTGGCCAGCCCAAAGTTTCTTTTGCCAGTCTTTTTGTTCTCTCCTAATGCTCTTGGTGCTGTTTTGTCATAGAAGGTGAATGTTTCCAGGAAGTTGCTTTCCTTGTGTATATGCAGGTTCGGGTGCATATTTTTCCTCTTATTTGGGCCCTTCCTGGAATCTAGTGTTTTGTTGTGAGCTATCTTGGCTCCAAAAACAGTAGCTTCGAAGAATTCAGTGACAGCATAGCATTACCAATCAGACAGAGCCTGGATCAGAGCCACAGGGGAAATCATGTGTTTGGCAAGCTCGCTCCCTAGGCTTTGCTCCACGTGATCCCAAGTGGACCAACTCAGAGGTATTTGACTTGCTGAGAGTCTGTGGAAAACATTATCAAAACCGCCATGGGAATTCAAGGAATGAATTTGTCTGTTGTGTCATTTCTTTGCAGATGCATCAGCCTATGGGACTCCAAACAGCACAGAACTGGGTCAAGAATGCTCCCGCCAGGAAAGCCAATGGTAAAAATGAATATTTCAGTTCTGACTGTCATGACCCTAACTTACACAAGCCTGAAACACAAAGTTCTTCTTTCCTCCTACCACATCTGTACCCACTGCACCTGATTTTTGCCTGACGTTTTCCCAAGCATTTTTTCATATCATAATGATGCAGCAGTAATTGTTAGAAAATAATTCAATCTGAGACACTGAATCAATCCTTTATTTTTTTCTTAACAGAATTAATGCAATAATTTCAGTCTAGACAAGGCTCCCTCATTCCCCACTCCTTTGCCATATCAACCCTGACCATTAATGAACTTCACATCAGTCAATGTAGAAGTGAACTTTAACTTAGGATATAGAAACAAAATCCATCTGACATTACTCAGGACATCAGGTCAAGCTGCTGCCCAGCTACTCTGCCACAAATCTAAGGATAAATGTGCTTATCAATTCCAGGGCAGCCTTTAATTTACTTATCCAGCTTTAATCAAAGATGTCCATTTTCAATATCCAGACTCACATTATCCAGCATGGAATTAACATGCATACCTTAAGAAGATGACTGTTCTCTACTGCGTGCTTTCCTATGTGCAATCTTTTGTGTGCTTGGAAACTGAAAGAAAGTCTTACCCAAAGTCTTTTTGAGCTTGAGGAGCTGTGCATCCCACATCTTACCAAATCACCTGACCAGTGGTTTTGTCTTCCACAGTCTACAACAGCTTGCAACACAGTTAATCTTTCTTTTTGATACAGAGCTTGCAGAGCTGAATGTACAGAGTGACTTTTTTTTCCAGTTAGTGATGCTGCTGTTGAAAAAGTATCTGAAAAAAGTCTATTACCACTTAACAAAATGATTACTTTTGTTTCAAAAAATGTTCTTCTTACTGATGTGTTTCCAATCCTGACACGCTGTGAGAGCACTAGCATTGCGGAAGTATGCTTTGGGTCAACATGTGACTAAGTTGTCCTCCCCTGTACGTTGATCAAGATGTATTAGCATTATCTTACAAAAAAAAAAAAAAAAAAAAAAAAAAAAAAAAAAAAAAGGCTGAATTTATCACAAATCAGCCATTAATATTGTACTTTTAACTGCTAAAAATCTCATTCCAGTGCTCAACTGCTTCATCTGTGCTGGCAGAACTCTTTTCACAGAGCCAGATGTGACACTCTAAGGAATCCTGTCTTTGTCAGTGACATTATGTGACTACACTGAAAGCTGAACCTGATGTAACTTCAGCTTTGCTGTTTCACTTTATGCAGCCAGTTGTTTGCAGGAAATGACACCTCTGGGTCAGGAAGTCTGCATGCATCTGCACTGAAAGCACAACTGTCATGCCCAGACACATGCTTTTTGCTCAGTTTGTCTTGCAAAGACTTTGCAAGAATGCAGAGGCTGTGGTGATGGATGTGGTGATAGTTCTGTAGTACTTTATATGAGCTTTTGAAAGCTGCTGAGTGCTTCAGTAACAGTGGGATACTCCTTATCCAATGTTACCTGCAGTGAAACAGGGCAAGCAGCTTACAGAGTAACAGAAGATCAGAAACTGGGATTCAGTTTAACCTGGGATGACTAATTATACGCCTGTAATACACAGTAAGAATAAAGAGGATATCCTATGCTCTGTGTAATTTGCAGTTCATGCTCACATGCAAACCAAATGTTATACTTGCTACCAGTGGCTGAGTTCTGCACAAATCTGGTAATAATAAATGCAAAACATGCTGCATGAAGAATGTGCCCGTAACTACACTGCTTCTTGTCCAGCAAAATCAATTAATATACCTGTAAATTTAAGTCCACAAATACAATAGGTGTGGGAGACAAATGTGAGGTGGAATTTCTGCCCTTGATCTCTAGAAAAGAAAGTGAGCAAATCAAGCAAATTTCAAATTCTCAAATACGTTTTCTAATCTTCACTCTTCACTATGATAGTTTTGCTTTAATGAAATTTCTCAGGTGATAAAATTGAGAATGAGCCTGAGACTCCATTTCTGTCTGGGTGCAAGTGTCAGTGCATTTGGTGGAGGAAGACTAACCACTGTAAAAGAAGAAATGAATGAAGACGCAAATGGAAGTAAGCTAGTGGTAACAGATTATTTCAGCTACCCAAGATTGACGGCTCATATGTCACAGTAAAAGTAGCAAATTCGTGTTACCACAAATGTCTGCTTTAGGCAGTAGGTAGCTTTGCTGGTGTGCTAGAGATTTCGTTCTGAGTAACAAATGAGATTTGATTTAAGAAGTAATTACAGCTGAATCTCACTGTCACAGTAGCTGCAAGATAGTGAAGATTAGTATATTGATCCTAATTGCCCTGTGTCCAAAGACATAAAAACACAAAACTAGAAGTATTTAAGAAAATAAGATCCTTAAAATGGGTATGGTATCTATTAAAGTATGCCACAGTAGGATGACAAAAACTTCAAACATGTTTCATCAGATAATTTACTCAATTAACACATAAGTCTACCTGGAGGTAAAAGCAGTGCCAGTGATGTTAGCAGGAAGTGTCGTGGACTGAATTCTGGATCTGATGTGTATAGAGAGGCTGAGTGGGGAAACCTTAGTTGCAAGTGGCCAGAAATAAATCCAAATAAAGATAATTATGTGGAATAAAAGACGTGCAGGCATCAGGAGACATGTTAAGCTACATTGAGAGACTGGTTCAAAGTCAGCAGATCTAACCCCTCTGCAGATGTTAGTACTTACAGGGAGCAGGCCACTGGCGCATGCGTGAAGCAAGGATAAGGGGAAATGGTTTTGAAAACTGGAAGAGGGTCGGTTTAGACTAGATATCAGGAAGAAATTCTTTACTGTGAGAATAGTGAGACACTGGAAAAGATTGTCCAGAGAGGTTGTGGATGTCCCCTCCCTGGAAGCGTTCAAGGCCGAGTGGATGGGGCTTTGAGCAACCTGGTCTAGAGGGAGGTGTCTCTGCCTATAGCAGGGGGTTGGAACTAGATGATCTTAAAGGTCCCCTCCAATCCAAACCATTCTATGATTCTATGATTATTTTTGTAGATAAAAAAGTGAAGTCATTGTTAGAAATTGTTATGAAAACATATGGTATCAAAATAAAAGAGGTCATTTAAGTTACAAGATTTCTGTTTCTTTGATACTATTAACAACAGTAGCTGGAATGAAAAAACCGCAGAGTTCGTACTGCCTTTCTCCACTTCCAAGGAATGAAGAACCTCTAATGCTTGTTTTTCTAACTTGTTCTTAAAACCTAAATGGTGGAGACTCACACTACATCTTTACAATCTATTTCTGTCTATAGAAGTTTTCCCTATTTTAGTCTGAGTTTTTCCTTCAGCAATTGACACCTGTCAATTTTTTGTTTGTTTTTGTTTTGTTCTCAGCGTCACGAAAAACAGTCAGCAGCATCCCTGTTTATGGGAACATTCTACATGTTGGAAGGTTATCATACACTGCCACAGCTGCCATCAGGCTTTAGTTTTTAGAACAAGCATATCCATCCTTTTTTTTTTTTTTTTTTTTTTTTTTTTTTTTTTTTTTTTAATTATTCTTTATCTCCTAAAGATCTTTAATTTTTTTTTTTTTTTTTAAACCTCTTTTTGTATTAGCCTATTAAATTACACCAAACTAAGGCTTCAGAGAGGTGAGTTAAGAAAAACAATTAGTAACTGTATCTTGTATATGACACATGTATTAAAATGCCCCAGGATGAATTTTTCTATCTTTGCATCAGCTTCATAATGTTGACTCATTTTCCATATGTGGTTTACTGTAACACCCAGTTCTCTTTCTACAATGCTGTTGCTATTCTCAACTTTGTGTTTATGCATTTGATTTTCTCTTGCCTCAATGGATTATTTGTACTCGTCTTCATTGCATCTCATCTTATTGATTACTGACCATTTCTCCCATTTATCAAAATTATTTTGAATTCTAATCCTTCCTCCTACACAGTCCCATCTACTTCAGTATCACGTGGAAATGCACACACACACAAAATATATATATAGTTGGAAACTTTCAAATGCAATTGATTTTTAAAAATGAAATTTAAACTTTGTGGGGAGCAACCCCACACCACTGTTCTTGTAAGCATAGCTATCCCCAACTGATTTTAGGTGTTGTGGAGGGTCCCACTATTGTTCGAATCTGTTCTTTGTTTTCTTTTAAAGAAAAATTGTCAACAAATCAGTGAAGACAAATTGCATAAGTGATATTTTGTTTTGGTATTTTTTTTATCTTTTTGAGTTGAACATAAAAAGTGCTTTCTGTTTTATAGCGCTTCATGCACATTGCTGAGATTAACCTCCAAAATGTTACAAGTTTCATTCTAAATCATAACAAAAGTCCTCTCTTTTCATCAAGTTATTACATGAAACAGAAAAGTAAACTGCTTTGAGATTCTCCTTGGAGTTACATGATGCTATAAGATGCTGTTGCTATAAGAGAGTTCAACTCTTCTGCTTGGCAAAAGAATGTGGCTACGAGCAGCTCTCCGTCTGACTTACAAAAGCACCTTAACTTATAGTTGTATATTTAGATTTTTATTTTAGAGTTCAAATACAGTTGCCTGACATTAAATTCAGCTTCCAAGGCTGCAAATTTATGGCACTTTGGTAGCTATATGTTTTGCAACAAGCAGTTTCCAGAAGTGGACAGCACTCATTTGATGTCATTCAACCCATTCACATCAGTCTTCAGAGAGAGAACTGTTGAAGAATTTAATGTCTGAGTTGTGTCTCGTACATAAGGGTAGATAAGAACTCTTTACTAGCTAGACGCATCAGGAGCCTTCTGCTTCTCCATGAGCAGAACAGGAAATCTAATTTGTCTCATGTGGTTTCCTGCTGAAACACGCATTTGTAGTGAAGAATGTATGAGCACTGCAAAATTCACTTACCAGATAGTGAAAGATATCCTTTATATTCTGACATTTTTTTTTCTGAGGTGGAACATTAAACTTGCTAGAAAATGACTAAGAGAATATAACAAGGAAATTATTTCTCTCTTTACCTACTTGGAGCAGAATAATTTATAGATGATTTAGAGAAAGAGATATAAGCCCTCTATTTTAATGTATATATTTTAGATATTAAAAAATGGAAGAGGTTCTCACTGATGTGAGGTCTGCCCAAGGCTTCAATAAGGGGCACCTCACAGCTCTGGGGTAAGCACTGCTCTGCTGCATAGCTGAGATAACTGACAAACTTTCATGGAGATCCAAGCTCTTTTGGGTACCACCAAATCTCTCTCTGTGGGAATGCACGTTTTTAATCAGTAGGCAGAGGTAAGGCCAGCAAACAGCTGGGCAGCAGCTGCTGCAATCACACAAGGGTGCAGATGGAAGATCTGGCACCGAGTAGCTAAACAACTTAGTCAGCTTGACAGCAAATAATACCACAGTTAGAATTCCTATCCCTACTAATCCTGCTTCAAACAGGTTGGGAAGGGAAATGTTACAGAAAGCCAGAAGGAATTCTTAGGATTTCTTAGTTTCAGTTCTTATTTAAAAATTGTTCTTGTTTTGCCAAAGTTTATAATAGTTATATAGAGTAACAAAGGTTCCAGAAACTTGTGACATTATGCTTTCTCTCAGGTTGTTTGTACTTGAGAGCACTCAGTTAGAAAAACCCTCATCTTGCTCATCACAGTGTTGCATGCTAGTCTTATCTGTCATTGCACTGCAGGTCATTAGCAGCTGCAAGCGCTACTTAATGACACTCTAATTAGCATCTTGAGAGTTAGTCACTTCACTTTGTGCTGATTCACCTACAGCCACATAACTACCTGTGATGGGCTGGCATGCAGCTGTGTAGTTTCACAGCCATCTCCAGGTACTTCAGGATGGGTAGGTCTCCTTTCTCCAGCGCTTGTGACCACTGACTCCTTCATGGCAATGCTGGCACTTGTATGGCTGCTCAGTGACTCAGAAAACCTCAAATAACTCACCTGGGAAAAAACAGTCAGAAAAAAAGGTATTATTCTCAGCTTTTTCAGCTTTTACATCTGACTGTGCTGTCTCTTCACATGAGGCAGAGTTAGCCTAAGTTATGCGTAATGGGGAATTAAGCCCAGAATTTGAGATGTGGAATACCAGAAGTGTCAGGACATAAGAAGGCTTCACATGGATTTTAAAAGATATATATAATTTCATACCACATGTGGATTAGCCTGAAAACAAGCAATAGAAAAAAACTACTGCTACTTCTGAAAATGTTTTGGAAAGTTTTTCACCTGTCTACCATCACTGATACAGATGTTTACAAGGAGAGGTCACTGCTGTAACTAATAGAACAGCAACATTCCCTGGAAATCTACCACAGCCATGTGAGCATGGCTGGTCCAGTAGCTCCTTGACCTTGCTCTCAGCTAACTTTTTTTATGCCAGAAGCTAAGCAGAGTGAACCAGATATTCCACTGGTTTTACAGTTCTTAAAGTATGCTATTATTTACAGAACCTGCTTGACTAAACATTTCCTATTATTTATGACTTTTAAATATGAAATCTGACAGCTTCTATTTATTTACTTACTTATTTTTTATTATTACAGACATTTTGTTACTTTTTTTCAAAGAAAATCAATTCCTGTCCATCCCAGTGCTTCCCAGCCACACAGTTAAGGACAATCACTGCTACATGCTGGTGGTTGGCATCTGGGTGCAGGATACCTGTGCCCTTAGCTGTGCCTGCAGTTGGAGGACAATCTGTCAAGACTGCTGTTAGCCCAGGTGTCTGGTCATAGGCTGCACTAAAAGACCCTGAAATCAAAGACTGTGACTGAGATGTGAGTCATCAGCAGATACCAAGCACATTTCAGAGAAAAACCACTCAATGGAACATGCCTATGCTGCCCTCTGATCTTTTTAGCTTGTACTTATGTTAAAGAAGTAACACACAGAAGGCAAGAGTTAATAGTGATTGACAGTGACCTCAATTGCCAAGAAAGCCTCACTGCCCAGCTTCTTTCTCCTGTTTTTCCTCATCTATATGTTCCTGTTATCTCAAGTCCCCTCCCTTTTTTGTTCCAGCTCGGATTATCAACAGGCTTTTCTGTTAATTGGTATAACTTACCCTGCAACGGAAAAAAATTTCCTTTTTTTGTTGCTTAATGGAAGAAACTGGCTCACAGAAACACCTTGTTAGCTCTGTGCTGTAGGCAGGAGTGAATGGCTAGTGTTGGGGCAGGAAAGGGGGAAGCAATGTGGGTGTCAGCTGTGATAGGCTGTTAATTCACCTCATCAGAGCTGTGAAACCATTACTGGGCTCAACAGCTTGTCTTGCAAGCAAAGGTGGTGAGAATACCTGCCAAGAAGGTTCTATAAGCTGTGGTTAAACATATTGCTACAGCAGCTAATGTGGGCAGAAGCTAGAAGTGGAATGTTATCCAAGCCCCAGGTTTTCATTAGCTGCAAATACAGCACTGATAATAGAATAATGACAGTCAAAGCATAAGTGGAATTCTGAAGATATCTTAAGTAATTTGTAGCACTGAATAATGAATTTAAGAGTAAAAAGTGCACTGCTAGATATTAAATTTCCAGTTTATTCAAATTATTGCTTATATTAATGCAATTAATATATAGCACATTTTGCATAGAATCACAGAATCATAGGGGTTGGAAGGGGCCTCCAGAGATCATTGAGTCCAACCCCCCTGCCAAAGCAGGTTCCCTGCACCAGGTCGCACAAGTAGGTGTCCAGACAGGTCTTGAATATCTCCACAGGAGACTCCACCACCTCCCCGGGCAGCCTGTTCCAGTGCTCCGTCACCTCACTGTAAAGAAGTTCTTGTGCACATTTGTGCAGAACTTCCTATGCTGCAGTTTCCGGCCGTTTCCCCTCATCCTGTCTCCACGCACTGTTGAAAAGAGTCCGGCCTCGCAGCTCTGCCCCCCACACCTTAGATATTTATAGACCTGGATCAGGTCTCCTCTCAGTCTGCTTTTCTCAAGGCTAAACAGATCCAGTTCACTTAGCATTTCTTCATAGGGGAGATAGTTCCCTTTTTTGGATCAGAATTTAGTGAGGGTCTTTCTATTGTTCATAAAAGTGTGTGCATATGTACATATATGCTTTCTGAACTTCTGCTTGAGACTATAATGATCTCAACTGTCAGAACACCATTGGACTCTGAAAGAGGATCTTACCTCTGAAAAATTATTGTACATCTGATTTTTAGTATTTGCATGCTAACAGCACCCTAGTAAAATCAGGAAGTTTTACCAGCTCCAGTAGAGTTGGGATATCAAAGAACAGAGATGCTAACGTCCATATTCACAGAGCATACTTAGTTGCATAGATATCATTAGATGACTTGTCTGAGGCATTTAGAAAAGCCTCTGTGGAACAGGCACTGTACCTAAGCCCTCAAATCCAGGAGTACTTCCCTTACTACTGAACTTTGTTGTCTTATTGTGCTTGCAACAAATCGTTTATTTAAAACTGGATTTAGACTACTCTAGGAGTTTTGAATGTTGATCCTGGCTGGGGGGAAGGATATAAAACTGCTGCTGATGCATAGAGTTTCCATGTCTATGACATCAAAAACAAGCTTAAAATAAGTAGTAGTGGGTTCTATTGATGCCCTGAGGAGCTGAAGTCAGAGAAGTGAAGGAATACCTCTGAAGAATAAAACCAAGACTTAGCATTACTTTGGTGTTACTAAGAAAGCTGGTCTGGTGATGTTCTGTGCACCTGCTTGGAAAACACAACACATAAAAGAAGAAGAAACAGTTTTAAGATTAAGTCTACATTGTGAATATAATGTAATCATAAGTCTAAATTTTGAATCTTTCTTTTATATAAATTCATTTTGTTGAGATATTTAGAGGGGTTTTACATATATTTTAAGGAAGGAATTTTAAAATGGAAGTGCATGAAGCATTAAACAAGTATTTTCCAATGGAGTTTTCTCTGATATGAAAGGAATTCTTGGTGTCACCTCTCATTTCCTGTGCTGGCTGTAGGACACCAGGAACAAAAAATTTGAAATTCTAACTAGTGACATTTAAAAACTGGAATATACATTATTCTGATATGCCTTATATATATGACTTTAAATTATCACTGAGAACAGAACAGGACTTTGGAGCAGCTAATGACCTTCCCCAGCATAGATTTGATGTGCAGATATATGCATGGATACATCTACTTTGCCCCTTTAAATTTGTTCCTAGGTTACTTAAGGTTTGTCTACTCAGGGAGCTCAGAGCTGCTGATGGATGTTACCAAGCTTCATGTGAACCAGCTTCATCCATGAAAAGGTAGCAGAAGGTGAAGTGTGCCAAATTCATGGCTGCTGGAAGCCACTTTCAAACTTCTAGGTAGGTGTTTGCCCTGTGGCTCTTCATAATCATGTAATTATTTGTTGCTATTTTTATCTCACTGTGAAAGTATTCATCAGACAAATTAGACAGCACACGCAGTCTACAGAATAAGTTTTAGCTCAACACACCTGCTTATGTTGTCATAACATAATTATTAGCTTTCTATTTTCATCAGATTTTTGTTTTCTTCTATTATTAATAAAACCATTTTTATGAAATGCAGACTGTATTGAAAATTAGTATATGAATGTCATTTTAGTGATCATATGGACAATGTATTTTCTATTCTTGACGTCCTTCTCTTCAGGACATTAACAGTATTTAATAAGTGAAAATTGGATTTAAATGCAACAATGTAAGACAGATGCTATTAGGTAGCCTTGAAACAGCAACAAAAGAAATCTGAACACATAAGGCATGAAAGAAGCCATACACTTTAAAAAAAAAAAAAAGGAAAATTCATGCTGAACATACGCAGTGTTTGTTTTGTTCTTCAGTATGCCTAGTTTAATAATGTTCTAGCAATGTTACATATCTACCTTCACTGTATTTTTTTTTTCCTTTTTGTTAGTGTTACTACTGGCAAGATTCACACAAATAAATGTTGACGCATTAAAAAAATAAAAAAGATGAATTTTTTCAGAGTGTGTTTCCATAGGCCCCTGGGCTTTTCTAGCAGCTCACTGCCACCCAAGGAGTCCAGCTCTTGCTTTTGCTGTGTTCCAAGACCTTCTTGCAAGTATCTTTCCTGCAAGCACTTCTGTGACCGCACAGCTCTGTCCTCCCTCTTGCTCTAGAATTGTTGCTCAGAGCACCAGGGAAGAGAAATCACGAGAAAGCAATGAAGCAGAACTATTTTTCAGTTTCTCTGGCTTCTAGGAACTGTGGCTTCTACCCATCCTCCTGAGACAGCCAGTCATGTTCTCTTGGTCTGAAGGCCTCTTATGACTATAGACAGGGCTGAAGACTGGGCACAGGCCAGCAAAGGCATGAATACAAAGCAGAGAGAAAGCATTGGTTTGGAGTGGTTGGTCATCCCTGGCAACACCCTTGGCACAAGTAGTTGAGGTCAACCCAACTGGCTCCTCTGTCTCCAGACTCTAAAAAGGTTGCAAGGAGGAGCTAGGTTTATAGAGAGACAACACTTGCAGATCCAAAAATGTTCATTTAGTAGAAATGAAGTCCTGTTAACAAATGGGCAGCTTTCTTTTTTAAGAACACTTAGTTAAAAGGATATAAAAGCTATCAAGGTGTGCAAGCTCCAAAAGACCGTAAGTAATGTAACTTCTGGCTGTCAGATGCCGTAAGTATGTGTAATAAGAGCCAAAGGGAAAGAATAACAAACAGTGCTTTTTGAATTAAAAAAAAAACGTGTCTTTTCTGTTCAGCATTGAAAAGAGAATCAAGTACTTCTGCATTTATTAGGAGTTATTTTTCTGCGTGCCTGCCTTTCTTCTAAAAGGAAGAGTGAATGAGAACGATGAGCTTCTCTTAGCTTAGTGAGGTGGAGAACAATTGTGAAGAAGCAGAAAGTTCAAAGTATATGATATTGCAAATAATACAAAAGATGATTTCTCTACTGAGAAATACCAAAGCCAACTCAACAGTGCTTCCTAGAAATATAGTTGCTGTAATCCCTCAAGCTCCAGTCAGTTTCACATTGCAGTGTTTGCACAAGTTATATGAAGTGAAGATTTATCAATTATTTTAAAGTAATTCTTAATGTTACATTTTTGTCAGTGCTTCTTTGCTTTACTCAAACTCAAACATACTCTCCAAAGTAGCTCAGGCTTAGAATAGCAATGAGGTGTGATTAATGGGAGGTAAAAGACTTTGTCGTCTCAAGCTGTGATGCCAGCACAGTTACTGACATAGGTTCTGATTTGCTTCAGAAATAAAAATTTTGTTCAGAATCAAAAGGAGTGTACAGCTTTCTTGTGGCTTCCAATTGCAACCTGTCTATACCGGTTAGGCAAAATGCAAAGCAATAACCAAAGTCATAGTCATTTACAGTAATTGTAGGCTTGAGTTGGGACTTAGGGCTGATGGTGAAGGATGAGGAAGTGCTCAGGGGAGAAAGAGGCACAGAACTGTGGTGATCTTGCCCTGGGAAACTCCCTCTGGTGCAAAATTGGCAGGGGATTCTTTGATAACCACAATTTACCCTTATGCTCTCCATCTTTTCCTCAGCAAGGTGGTCTGTCCAGCTTTTATTGCCACAGCTCTGTATTGGTTACAGCTGCAAGGAAAGGAAATGTATACCTGCCACTTGAAGTACCCAGATGCAGGACAGACATCTTGAGAGGACATGCTCAAACATTTCTGCCTATTTTCAAGTGAGAATGTTTACCTCTTGCAGTTCTGGAACTTCCATGGCAGACGAGGAAAAGAAACTGAAGACAATGAGATGAAGGAAGGATTATTCTCCTTTAACCAGGTTGTAACACAAACATTCAGAAACTATTTGGTACTTCCATTGTCACAGGAACCACGTGACCACAGATGAGAATAACATATTTCCAACCAAATTCTGTAACAACAAGGAGTAATAAGCTGATGGTAAAACATGAATCATTTAGTCTATATAAATACATGATTTTAGCATGGGTGCGTTGTGGAAAGCTATGTCACAAGTGTATGATGTATATTGAAAGATGATGGATAATTTCACTGCAATTATTTGTTCTTTTTCAGAAGCCATCTTATCATTTTCTGTATTTTTCATGATTCTCAGCAGTGTAAATGTTGTAAGAGTTTGTTCCAAAATTAAAGTGTCATTAAATGTGTCAGTGTCATTAAATGTGTCCCTTTGTATGCTATTTTACATTTGACAGTTCATCACAGACAACTTATACATTTACCTCTGCATAACCTTCACTGTGTCTTATAATAGTATATATTTTTTTTATTTACTCAGGTGAGAAAAAGATAGCTTTTCTTTTTTAAGGAGTGGGGCACTTGTCACTGTTTCTATCTGAGCAGAGCTATAACACAATTCACTTAAGATACAAAGATAATGCTTTCTATCAGCCTCAGGTCTCGTACCTACTCTTTACACAGCACAACAAATATACAAATCCAGTAAATTTAGATACTTAAACTTGTTATTACTATTAAATTTAGATACTTAAACTTGTGATAAATATTTAGTATAAGATCCTAAGTAATGTGTGGGAAGGTTGATATACAAAGAGGTTGGCTATATGGCTGTGATGGATTTAAATTACAAACACACTTTTAAAACTCTTAGTAACAATTGGATTCATTTATGCAGGAATGCAAAGAAATGAAGTTGCTGCATAAATGTTATCTGTTGTGTGACATACTTTACAAATTTATTATGTTATCTTCAAAGATATATTGTTTTCCAGATTCAGGATTCTACACTTGACTGTAAAATTTTGGCAGACAGTCTCCAAAAGTCATGTGTGTTTCCTTTTTTTTTTTTTTTTGCTTAAAAATACTCTACTCTGTTTTGTTGAGAAACTGAATTACATTTGGAAGATAATTTACTTTAAAATAGATACATTAATACATTACCAAAATAAGACACATTTTTTGCTTCAGTCCTCCTTCCCATTTTATATTATCCTTTATTATTGTTACTGGTGGTTTTAAATAGGTTGGTTATGCAGCAAAATCTCATATACACGTGACTTCTAGCAAAAAATATCTCTTGGCAATAAAATCACAAAAATGAAGACCAGCCTAAAGCAAGAGTGAAAATATCCTCTGTGGACAGATGCTAAGTAGAAAGAGTGAGTCAGTCTGAAAAGAGAAATTTAGACAGGGAAAAAGGAAGGCAGGTCTGCAAAAAGATAACATTGCTATGTCCAAAAAATCATTTTCTTGAGCATTTGTGTCAGTGTCACAGTGGAAGAGAATAAATGGTAACCATCACTTACAGCTTCTGGACTTTTCCCTAAACCTTAGCTCTAGAAGTAGATTACACTCGCTCTAACACATACTCATCAACAACCATGCCACCTACTGAAGACAGATACAGCAGATCACCGTGTCAACAAAATACCAAGAAGAAAACACCATACCCTTTCAGGCAAAATCCCCCCACTTGTCTATTAAATGCATTTACTTTTCATTCACTGTCTGGTTCCCCATGCTTGAATACTATTCTAGTTACAAAAGTATGTGCAGTTATTATGACATATCTGTAGTGAAAATTTGAACACTTTTAACCTTTTATTGTCTTAAATATTGTTGTTTGGCTTTTACAGAGACTGAATTAGGAAAATCAGCCAATTCTGGATCAGGATTGATGTAGCAAGGTCACGAAGCATTTCAACCGTGCATGAAAAAGAGCTGGTAATGTTGGAATGTTAGTATATGGTATTCAATTAAGTGCTACATATTGAAGGAGGTAAAAAGAAACTATTGTATTTGTAATGGAGTCACACTTCACTTTTTCTGCAACTTACCAGTCATTATCAAGCTCTGATGGCAGATGAAGGAGCCAGTTTCTTCTAGTCTTTAGCAGAAAAGAATGAAAACTCTTTCCTATAACCAAATCTCATAGTTTTAAAAGTCACAGTACTGATTAACCCGTATGTATTAGCTTTTGTCAAGCCCACATGTATTAGCTTTAGTCATCTGAATTTTTCTTGGTCTTTGCTGTATATCTTAGACTTAAATTTTATTTTACCACCTAATATAATGTTATCAAAGCTTTAGATTGCAATATCAGTGTGTCTGCATCTTGTTGAATAAGTATGAACTATTTCCAATGTGACTTGTGAGCCTGGGACCAAACAGGGCAACAGAAAAGAGGAAGGAAAATATGTGATGGCTGAGAAAACTGTAACAAGTCCTTACAAAGTTGAAGATGTGAAGTGGATATGATACAAACCTGTCATTTTATTCTGGTCAGAAAACTCGTGGGATGGATGAGAAATAGGACATGTTTGAGCACTGGAACTTTTTTTTTTTTTAAAACAAACTATGAGATGAATTCTGTGAAGAAAAAAGGAGTTAGTCAGTATCACCTCATTTGTCATTCCTGTAGAGCAAAGAAGAACGTGTTACTTCAGCTCTTCTGAAACCAAGCTGCAGCATGAAATTCATACAGGTCCCTGGAAGATCTATGTCTCCACCTATGGATAGGAATATCTGCAAGCACTTATATTACCTGTACAGCTGTCTGTCTTCAGCACTGTTTTTTGGTGTCTGTATTAGAAAAAATACAGCTATAGACTCATACACAGTAATTTGACAACTCTATCTGGGATTTTGTAATCCATAAAATTCTATGTGAATAGGAAAATACTGATAAATTTCAGGAGGTGCCGAAGTATAGTCCAACTCATTTTAACAACCGAGGCTGTTATGTAACAGGACTTTTCCTTGTATGTCCTTTTTCTAAAGGAAATAGAAGATTTTCTGCCTCACTGTGGAGAGGATCAAAAACTGAGCCAGGTTACAGAGCTTATGGTGAAGTGAGGAGTTTTGTTCACTTCAATCCCAGAACCACCAGATTCCATCAAAGTTACTATCACCACAGTGGTGGTGGTAATATTTCAACACTTAGTTGAGGATTGTGTCCCTTAAAGTCAACAAACTTGTAGGATAGTATTAATATAATCTTTAATACTCATTAAAACTGAAAATATGGCCTTTTGAAATAATACTGGGTTCTTTCCTGAAATGGTTATAGTGCTAGAAGCATTATTTGACAGTAGCAAAATGTCTTATTGATGTGCCTTTAAAAGAAAGTTTTACAGAAAGCATTTTAATGCACTTAGCCATTGAAAAATTTACTTGCTGTGCAGTTTTTGAATAACATATATTGAATATAGTATTTATGATGAGATTTAGAACCAGGATGTATTGGTATGTAGATGAAAATTACTTATGCTGTGTTTTTGCAATTATTCTCTGGCATAAATCTGGAATGAAGTCCCTAGAAATTCCAACATAAAAATCTGAAATATAATATTAATAACCTGAAATTGAGTAGTGCTCTTGAACTGTAGTAGAAATCTTGTGTCCTCAATTGTAATTAATTTCATTCAATTTCAGTATACATGAGAGATGAATGTGATGGAAGACAGTATCAATAAGTAATAAATGAAATAGTATCAATAAGAAATAAATGGAATAACTGATATTCCAGATCTTTACAGACAGTGCTAATCTTGTTGCAACAACCTCAGGCATAGAAGGATACTAATTAATGACTCAAATTAATAAATTTGAGAATTTACTTTAAAAATAAATAATCCTAAAGCTTTTTGCTTAAAAAAAAATAATCGTTCTTAAAAATTAAATCTCTAAATTTCTGCTAATTGATTCACATGCTTGGCTATATTTTATTATTCACTTTCTGAATAACAAAAGCATTGGATAGTGAAAATAGTTGTAAGAAGCAAGAGGAGAAATTATTTCTTGTGCCAGTTGACTATCATTTGATGACTAAAAAATTATCAATGACAAGGAGGAAGCACAAACCTGCTTATACTGGTACTTCAAAATGTTACAACTTGAGTTGTCCATCTGTTGTGCTGAAAGAAGAGTTGATTTTTGCTCCATGTGCTATTATTGCCATTATAATAAAGCTGTACAAACAGATATGTAATATTGATTAACAGAAAAAGAACAAGAGACAGGGCTATAGAAGGATATTCAGACATCCAAGGTAGGATATCAATTTGCGACACTCTACCTGTCTCCACAGCACAAAGAGGGAAGAGAACATGCTTCTCTCTTTTAGTCAAGTGTAGGCTGGGTAGATGGCTACTTAGAAACTCTTGAGTTTCATGCATTCAGTCTGCTTGTTCCAGTCTGGCACTCTTTCTAAAGTGTCTTTCTGCTTTATTTATTGTGTCAGCCAGAAGTGGTAACGTTAATGCTCTATTTTAATTTCTGAAATAAAACAATCCTCAAGTTTCTTCATATGGTTCCCGTAGGCTCTCAATATTACTCTGAAACTTACTGCCTCTTACTGCCTTGGCAGATATCAATATTGATTGTGAAGAGTTAAATGAAATGGCCAGGATGCCTTTGGCACATTGTTCATAGTCTCACCTAAGCAGACATGAAAAACAGTAAGTAGAAGAGACTTGCAATCATACATGGGCAAAAAAAGTGGCCACTGCGCCTTTCACTCCCTCATGAAGTTTACTACCAGACAAAAGATAAATTTGAGTTGTATGTAGTATGCAGACTTTTGACTGGCCAAACAAAAAAAAAATTCACCTTAGAAAACCTAAGTCATCCTTCTGAGTCGCAAAACCTAATCAAAAACTTTACACACACATATATATGTTATAATTAGCACAGAACTGGACATAAGTTCTTTTTTTATCTCTATAATTAGAGTATGATCACTTAATTTGAATTTCCCCTGGATGTATTTTTATAGCACTTGGGCCATTCAGGTTTGTTTCAGGTTTGTTTTTTTTTTTTCCTTGATTTTTTTTGTGTCTATTGTTGCATTGCTTTTTTTTTTTCCTGTTGCTGTTGTTTTGTTTTCTACTTAGTTTATACTTTGCTATTTTTAGTAATATTTTGCCATTATTTTGCCATTGCTAATGATATTAACTTTGAAATTGACTTGGCCAGCTGAAGATAGGTCTAAGTTAATTTTCTGTAGATGGGAAGTTGTTTTACAGTATGATGGAAATTGATCTTTATTGAGAAAGCCTGTCTAAGTTCTCTTTTTGAAGGATTAATATAGGAGTACTTTTGATTGCTATTTCATGTAATTCAACCTTCACGCATGGCAAGCTGACAGATGAAAGCTTCAAACTCCCTCCTGAATTAGAGAGAGATACTAGAATCCCGTTTTCCTTATCTGGGTCTTCACTTTCCTGGCAAACAGTGTCCTACAATGGTGAAGAATGCAGGCCACTGTTAACACAGTCTCACGAAGAAATACAACTTGATAAACAGATTTTATAAATATCTTATCATTTTTCTAATACAGAAACATAAGAAAGTAGGGCTAGATGGGAGATCTGTGATAATCTCACCTGTGCCAGCACCCGCTCCTGAGGAGTCTAAATGTCACAGTGCTGCCTGTATGAGGTATTTAAGGGTCACTGGTTAGAGAACTGAACAGAGGAAACATTTTTTTAAACCTATAAATGCAAAGAGTTTCTTTTTGCTGCATTTTTGAAGATAAACTTCTCAAAGAAAGAACTAAAAAAAAAAAAAAGTGGATATTATTAGTGGAGATAGCAGGAAACTGAGCAAGTGGATCTGGAGATAAAATGAAGGCATGGACAGTGGCAGGGTAGTCAGGGAGCATCACTTTAGGGCAAGATCATGAGATGTGACTGGTGGCAAAAAATAAAAATAGTAACTGTATTCAGGATGGAAGTATATGAGAATAGCAAATTAGCAAATGCCTGGACTGAAAAAAAGGTTAAAACCTAGCAGGCATGAATAGGAGAATTTTTATTAAAAAAATATAAGAAAGATTAAAAAAAAAAATGTTAAAATATATTACTTGCTTCCAAGATACCTCTTCTGGAAGACAAGAATTCTTCAAATAATAAAAATAGCAGAATAATTACAAACCAGAATTATGTATCTGTTCACTGTTTAAAAAAAATTGGAGGAATAACAAAGAAAACCCTTAAGGAAACTCATATCAAGAGCTCAGAAGAAGAAATCTTATTTATAAATATATATATTAAATCAATATATTCCCTATATGAGGGGATAAAGTGAGGTTCTTTGTGTTTTCTCTATGTAAATTGCCTTCATAGGGGAAAATTATATCTGTGCCTTCTCTTTGAACTCGGTAATATCCTCAGAGTCAGTTATCACAGAGGGAAGGGGCTTCTTCACAGTCATCTTACTAAAGGAATTACAGAGCTCTTCAAGTAGGTGACATGCTTTTGGGCACTGTAACGCCCAAATCAATAATATTAAATAGCATATACTATAAAAAGGAATCCTGTTACAAATGGATTTCTGTTCTAAAACAGATTACATCTAATCTTTTAGCAAGTTTCATCCTTATGAGACAGTCTTTAATAGAAGTATTAAGCTTGCTCAAGCTCTATAGCATTTCTTTAATGCCAGCAACTATAAGGCTTTTTTTTTTTTGCTCAAGATTTTAGGAAAGGATCTGGAATTTCCGGTATTCTTTTGGAGCTTATTCAGATCCGCTGTCTTTTAGTGCTAAAAAGCGTTTGGCTTTTTTTCCTCAAAAATGTTTTCTGCAGCTGCCATTGGAGTCCAGTGTTACACCTCCCCTTTCAAATCACTAATAACCTGCAACTAATGTGTGTCATTTCTATCTTTATTTGAAAAGAATATTTTATGCATGGATACATCCACTCATACATACAGAGGAAGAAAGTTGGAACGTTGTAAAGTGGTTCTCTCATTCAACCTTAATACACATACCAATCAATTTATACCTATGTTTTCAAATGCAATGCATTTTTCTATGTTACACACAAACAATAAATGGTTTTTTTCAGACCTTGTATTTTTTTCCTGTTTTGCTTTTGACAGGGGTACTTTTTTTCAGAATTAGTATTTTTTGTGTGTGTTTCTCAATAATCAGCCATTTGACACCTACGTAAATCAATTATACCCTGCTCAGAGTGCTTTTTCTTAAGGAATATGTGGTGAAATATACATTGTCTGGAACATACGAGATAGAAACGACATCTAAATTAAAAAAGTTTGGCAGTTATAGTGAAATATTCATTTGAACATTTCTCTGCACACCTCGTATTTCTCTGAGTATAATCACACAATAATGCCAAAAGCAATTTCAGTACTGTATGACAGTGAGGACTAACAGTTCCCATAAGATATTGTCTGGATTTGTCTTCTGATTAGGTATTGAATGGAGTTTCATTGTGGATTGGCTTTAACTGTTTCTTGTAAAGCATTGAGAAGCGGGGGAGACTTCAGTTTTCAAAGCTGATCATCACAATGGAACAGCAAGAAGAAAAGTGATCTGAATTATACCAGATTTAAAACTCATTGTACTTTACTGAACACACCTGCTAACACATTTTCCTATTTTTTAGGGCTATAATACCATTGCAGTACACTATTTAAAACTATTTGAACACTATCAGGAAAATCATTTGGGGAAAGTATCCCCCAAAATGGAACAGATTCCAGAGTCCATTTTTATTTTAGTCAAAGTTTTTAAACAAAATTTTTCAATGCTACAGCATTTTTAGTGATCCTAAAAGAGGCCTGTCCAGTCTAGTGAAGTAAAGCAAAAAGTACTTCCTGCAAAATTCTGTCCATGTGTTCAACTTCTGCTGTTGCCATGAGAAAGTTGCATAATCACAGTTGGGAGATGTAAACAATACAAACAAAGGTAAGCAGCAGGCAAAGTGTGCAGTCATCAGTGTGAGAAAAGGATGCCTCGGATACACTTTTCTGTAATCAAAATATTTTACATTCCTATTTCTGGATATTATTTTTAAAAATCCATAAAAACTGGTGCGTCCATTCTTAAGTAAACCATTTCTTCATTGCAGACAAAGAATAATAGGGATGAAGTGTATGCAGAACTCAGGAAAAATAAAACATTTCCCTGAGGGAAATTTCACTCATAAATCACTAGCACACTCACCTGTCTTGTCTTCAGCTTAAGAAGATGAATAAACATCCACATACATCCACACATCCGATTTTATTTCCTGTAAATACTTAATACTAATAGTAAAATACATTCCTCCGCGCACAGGAAGTGGAGGGATGCCCCTCCGGGCTCGTGGAAGCACTCTCCATGGTCCTGGAAAGAAATCCACTGTCACAGGAAGGACAGACCTGAGATTACTGGAAAAGACCAGTTCTCTGTCTTCAAGTAAACTAAAGAAGAGAAGAATTTGCTTTCATCTAAAGAAAGTCTTCAAAATGATTTCTGATTTTCTAATTAATAAGCAGAATTATTAATTTAGGGAAACATTTGCCTCTTTTTATAGATTGTAAATACGCTGTGCTGTTAACAGTTTCTACCCCTTGGGAAATGCTTCATAGGATATGAATAGCATGTAAAGAAAACTAACCAGAGACAGTAGCAAATGAAAACAAGATGTAGATCTTTCTGCCAGTTTATGAAATGAGCACCCAAAATGTAACTAGAAAATTTAACAAAGAAAACAGTCACTCTCTTCCTCTGATTTAGGAACAGATTTGAGAAGTAGTAATTTTTCCCCAGCCCTCCTTTTCTATCCCTTATTGGTGATGATTACCATGTTCATTTTTAAAAGAAATCAACAAACAAGATACCTAGATGTTCTAATACTTGGCATATCCTAAAACAGATATTTCCTCTCGTGACTGGCAGCTGTGTGTGTAAAATTGAGTTGCATCAATGTTGACCATGTGGAGTAATCCTTGGCTGCTGCTTTGAGAATAACCTGAAATTTTTAAAGAAGATGGGTCCTTTTTGGAAAATATCTAACAAAACGATAAAAGGAAAAAGGTGAATGGACAAAATAATCTCTTCCTTAAGCAACTTGGCTGATACATGTTAGTTCTATAAAGGCAAGCTGTTCATTTTCTGAACATGAATTCTGTGTCCTGTATTGTGTCCATTATCTTTCACTGCCCGTGTTGATCTTTCTTCTCATGGTAGGGAAACAAAATTCAAAAAGGAAGATTGCTATCTCATGATAGAAGGTACAAGGCTAGACTGATATTTGGGATTAGTAATTACATATCTAATTCTGGCATGAATTTACTACATTTTTTAGTGTATTTTACAGCGTTTTCCAGGATAGCATTTGTGTAAGCAGAGATACAAAGACAAGATGAAATACCTGAAAGCTTTTTCTAACTTTGGACATGTAAGAATCTGCTATTCCTATTAACACTGAACCCTGTATCAATTTTTCAAAGACAATCTCCTCTCTCCACTCCCAATATTTGTTCTTTAGTATTCCCACCTCAATGTTTCCACAAGCCTTGGAGAGGGAAGTTTAGAAAATATAGCACAAATTAACCCTTTATTTCCACATTGCTAAGTGTGATCTCTGACCTTCAGCAGATTATCACACACTACTTACTTAAGCTCACTGACTGACAAACATTGGGGCCTCAAAATCCCCCAAAAAATCATGAGGTTCACCAGATAAGTGGCTCAAATGACAATGATTAAGCATTATGAAATATTTATTTACAAATTCTGTCTATATGAAGGATTTCATAACCAGAAGAGAATGCACTAGTAACAATTCTTAAGACCTAAACTGTCATAAATTATGAATACTAACATACCTTAAATTGACTTTTGAGTTTATTATTTGATGCCATTAATTGCTTAGGAAATAAAAAATTCAGAAATTAGTATTTGAAAAAAGACTAATTATGTTTAAAAGTTACTTGTCAGCACACTTTGAAAACTATAAAGGAAGGTATGAAATAATTCACTTCTGTGCATCTTTCACATCATGTACTACACCTCTAGCCAATCATGATGTCTCACAACATGATTAGTAATTCATATCTACCATAATCTGTCACACATGCCAGATTAACAAGAAGTCTTGTTTTCATTCCAATTATACCTTAAAATGATTATTAGCAGCTACAATCCATAACTGAAGAACTACTATCAAGTGTATTGGTAAAAGCACTCAGTACTCTGCATGGACATAACACACTTTTAATAAATGTTCTTTCTATATGTATTACTTGCAGATAAAGACAAGTGAGTCTTTTCACGGAGCTCATTGCCAAGTAGCTTCCTCTTCTCAAGTCTTATATCACAAAATTTCTTGGTTCCTGTTTAGTCTCTTTCAAAATAACATGCTGATTGCTAGGCAAAATTATATATATAAATTATATTCCATACCCTGCATTAGAAAGATGATTAGAAAATTTCTTTTCAGCAATCAACAATATCTGGCTGTAGGACCACAGCCCTGGGTAATGCAGAACCTTCTCCAAAAGCACAGCTGAACATGACTACTCTGGAGAAAAATGAGGAAACTTTGAATGAAACATAATCATGGTTTGATCAGGAAGTGCTAATTCTGCATTTTCTTAATACGCTTCTTTCAAATGTGATAAAACCCACAAAAAATAAACTTGATCTTTCCACATAGCATATTTATTGTCCTCCTCTACACTCAAAACATTCTATTACTGCAGAATTACATCTTGGATAGAGAAAAAATATAATGAAACCAGTAGTCCTGTGGTGTGTAAGCACTTCATCCAAAGAGCATAGCAAAAATACATAAGAATGTCACTCACCTTACTATTGGCTCAATGCAGTTTCAGTATTCAGTTCTATTTTCTCCAAACAGAGGAGGAAACTTGTCCTCTTGCATAAATGCCGGCACTTGTTTTCCTTGATAAGCTGTCAACAAGCACCACGTGCTTTAAAGTGATGTAGGAGGAGTTTATGATAGTGAAATTCACATTGTATATGGATAAATGAACCTCTGTGCTAAAAAGAAAAAAACAATAACAAAATAAAGGAGAGAGTCTGCAGAGGAAAACCAAACCAAATCAAAATACATACTGCCTAAGTATTATGGTAAGTAGAGACACATAATGAGTTTCCCTGCTCTTCCAAGACTTTGTGTGAATGAACTAAGTGTGACCCTGTATGTATGAAAGTGAGGGATTCCTTTTCAATTCACAAGAAGTGAACAAGTATGTCATGAATCTTTTCCAACACAGCCTGTGTCAACTGGTCACTTCACATAGCAGCATGGATTAAAAAGTTTAAATTCTCAGTTTACTCAGAATTTGTTTGCAGATTTAGAAGGCCCCCCAGTTAAATAATTACCAATAGCTGAGAATGGAAAGGTGATTAGTTTACCTTTAATCTTAAAAAACTTGAAATAGGCATCACTATACAACTATATCTGATGATTTAATATTTCGATCATTTCTTGTAATGAAAAGTTTCTATGTCACATGATGAAAAAATCCTATATAGAGCATCTTTAAAAGATCTCTTCAATATTACATAAATCATGAAGTTAACACTCAGAAAAGTTTAGAAATAAAATTGGAGTCTGTACTGGATGAGAAGACAGGGATCCTGTATTTCTTCTGAAGTATTTGCATTTATCCTCATAGATCGCAGTACAGAAACATTGAGAAATAATTACATTGGGCATCCTTATAACATTCCACATCCTGTTATGATCATTTATTTCTCCCTAAAAGGTCTGTACTACTGAATTTATGATACTATCAGACAGGTGGAAGAAAGAATGTGAAAAAAAGAACCACATTATTTTTCATTATTTTTTCCCCCCTTTTTTTTTTTTTTTTTTTTTTTTTTTTTTAGGTATTTACTAACACTACTTATTACGAAATGTAAGCAAAGCATAATTTGTGGTGATGTGCTTTGGGATTAAGAATGTTTTTGTTCTAGATTTTATTGATCTAGAACTCATTTGTAACTTCCCAGTTTATATGCATTGCAGCTATTCATGAGTATGTGTGCATACCTACATAAAATTTCTTTTAAAATAAATTAAATGCACCTTTTAAAAAAACAACAGCATAACTGAGTTCTTTTTCCTGGATAGACATACCCTACAGTGAAAAGGTGTGGCAGTGGTGACACCGCAGGTCAGGGTATGTAAAGAAATGCTCATTATTCTGCCTTTTTTCCCCCAAAGACTATGACCTTCAGTGAAAATAAATAACATTCTGAAGCCAAAAGTAATGTAATTATTCATAGACTGTTTTGGATTAGTTGGCAGAAAAGCAAATATTTCAGTTCCAGCTTGAAAATCAAGCCATTATTTAACTTTCAATGTGCAGTTCCCATAGTAAATTCATTTTTAATGGGATGGTGTACCCGGTTTGTGCTTGGTAATTCAGCTATAAAAAATCTGAGCTGTGCCTATAAATCAATCTGAATGGTATGCCATAAGACTGCAATAAATTTATGAGCTGCCTTTAAAAAAACAGAGCATATATTAAGTGTTTTATATGTTGCACAGATCACAAGTCAAATATTTGACTCTAGTAATATAACTATGGGTGGCTTTAAAATGATGAAATCTCTGGTAGATCACCTGGAATCCTTTCCATTTAGTGAATTCACAGCACAAAACTGAACGTTGGAATTTCTTTCAAATTCACTAGAAGATTTGGCTGTGAGCATTGTTGAAGTTTCTTAGAAATAATATAAATTCATCCTACTGAATTTGCTTTACTAATGGAGATGTAAGTGTAGCTACGTATGTGATGCACCAGTTGATCTCTGCAAGTCATTCATTTTGTGAATGACAATGTAGTCCTAGAATTTCATGGTAGTAGCCTCCCACAGAAGCTTTTTTCTCCTGCATCTTAATTATTAATATATTTTGCACACTGTAGCCAGAAGGGCAAGAGAGATGCAGAAACTTAATTACGCAGAAACCTTTTGCTGGCTCTTATAAAAAGTGGCAACATAAAAAGATAGAAAATAGGAATTTAACTTGAATTCAAAAGTATGGTGACTTGTTAGTACAGTTTATAGATATATTCTGAGTTCAATTTGAAAAATGATTCTACAATTAACAAATACACAACTAGCAGAGTGGAGTACTTACACTGGCATTTTACAGGTCATATATTTAGAAGGATTAGCACAGTGAAAAAGGACAATTGAAAATAAATGAAAATACTCACCCATATCCTGAGCTTCAGAAGAACTCCAAAGGGAGAAATCTCCATAAAAAGAGCCTTCCTTAACGGCAGTCAGCCCTTAAATGGGTCTAGGAGAGGTGCAGCCAGGCTCCACCCCTTCCAGTCACACAGCTGAATTACCTTTACCTGTGCTCCCGCAGCTGACTCAGTGCTTGCCTCTGGTGATCAATCAGTGGTTCAGGCCGTGATTCAACAGTTCCCGTACAAGGACGCAATTGGATTTCCAAGCTCTAAGAGGCACTTTGTGGTTAGGAGACTCTGAATAGCCATGTAGAGAACATGAATTATCATAGGTCAGATGGATTTAAGTAAATACTCATACATACACATTATCCAATATTGTTGTACAAAGAAGAAACAGTCTGTGAGGAAAGTAATTGTTTCCCCAAATTGAAATACACTGCAGTATTTCCATGTTCTTGACAGCTGTTAATGAACAATACTGGTGATTTAGGTAATCTTTATATGAATCAGGTTATTGAGTTCATGGCATATTGGAGCTAGACCTGAGGGGGAAAAGTCTGAACTGAAGTCGTGAATATAAGACTGAATGATTCAAAACCCATTGTTTATATTTCCAAAGGAGTGAGAAATGAGTAAATGCTTCTATTTTCAGGATGCAACTGGAAGATTCATTTTTTTCAGCATCTGGATGACAAACTTCATCAGTTTCAAGTTCACTTGGGATTGGTCAGCCTGTTTTACTCCTTATATGTTACTAACCTCCAGATATTTTGAATCTGTTTCCCTCCAGCAAGAAAGAACTTAGAGGACATTATAATCCTTCAAGCTTAACTTTTCATGCAAGCTACTGAAAAGCTGGTCTAAATCATGTTGAATATGTTGACAAGTATTTCAGTGAAATGAAATATCTCTATTAAATACTAAAATAATAAAATGCAAAAATCTGAAAATGCACCATTGGCCATGTTGTATACCTTTGCCTGCATCATCAATCTCTGCAATTACACACACACACATGTGTACATATATGTAAGAAGAGCTAGCAAATATTATGAAAAATCTCTTCATCTTAGACATGAATAATCTGCAAATAGAAAGGAATCTATTGTATGATGTAAGCTGTAAGTATGTTATGGAGCCAGCCCAAAGCAGTGTAATTTCATCTGCAAACTACGGAGTCTAAATACAAAATCCTAGAGGAATTCAGCAACAGGACAAATTTTGATTTGGTTTCATTTTGACAAAGTGTGAATTTTAGTCAAGTTTTTGTCTCACATTCAATGAAATGTAGAGATATCCTCACTGATTTTTTAAATGTTAGCATGGTCTAGTTTCAAAAATAATATCAAATGGGAGATGATGTTTTCCATTTGAAACCCAAAGCCTTGCATATTTAATTCTAGCTTTCTAGTGCAGAGAGATCTTAAGAAAGACTGATTAAAATAACAGTATTAAAAAAGGAAAGTGATTTAAATGTTGTGAGACTTTTATGTTCTCTAATAGTGAGGCACTCAGGAGCTAGCTGTTCAAATGAGTTTAAACCAGTTGTATTCTAAGACACATCTCTTCCAGCTTCCACATCTTCCTTGTGAGGTTGACAAAACTTTGTCTTCTGTCTGTCCTAACAGAACTTTTGGTGCCTTAGAAATATAGGCAATCAGACACCTCCAGAAGTTCTTCAAGGTGATAAAAAATGCTATTAATTAAAAAAAAAAAAAAAAAAAAAAGTTGTTTGATAGAAGGCAGCACTATTTCCTTTAAATTTCTTCATGTCTTTAAAACAGAATGTTGACAATATCTGCAGACTTCCTGTCCTCTTCCTCTCACTTCAAAAACATTTTTAAATAAGTATGGGAAAATCTTTCTTAAGAAAGAAATCACTGAAAATAGATTGCTTTCCTCAGATGATTTGTAAAGTAGCCAAAGAAATGCCTCTAGCAGAAAATAGTTTTGAATATCTTTTTAAATGTTGCTTTCCTCAGTTAATTAATGTTTTTATTGCAGATTACTGGCCACAAACCTCCAGTTCTTCTGAAAAGATGCCTCAGCTCCTGTGAATGCTAATGGAAAAACTAGTGAAGTAATCAGTTTGAAATAAAACATAAAATTTTTATTCTCTTTTTTTTTTTTTTTTCTCAGGGAATATGACTAAGCTTCATTGCAAATGGCATAGGAAATGCATCATTCATAAGAAGAATTAACATATAAAGATTAAGGCCAAACCACATTTTAATACTGTTAGATGGTAAAATGAATCACAGAATCATAGAATGGCCTGAGTTGAAAAGGACCACAGTGATCATTTAGTTTCAACCCCCCTGCTATGTGCAGGGTCGCCAACCACCAGACCAGTCTGCCCAGAGCCACATCCAGCCTGGCCTTGAATGCCTCCAGGGATGGGGCATCCACAGCCTACTTAGGCAACCTGTCCCAGTGCATCACCACCCTCTGTGGTGACTTTCTCCTGATATCTAACCTAAATCTACCCAGTCTCAGTTTAAAATCATTTCCCCTTTGGAATGAAACTCTTATGGTACCTTAGTCTTCGATCTAGATTTACGTGATTCCTCCTTAATTGAATTTGTATGTTATTGAAGTTCAGTTGCCATGGGTTGAATATGGTGGCTGTCTAATCACATGGATTTAAAGGACTTTACTCTGAAATACTACCGTATTCCTTTTCTCATCTTTGTGAAGGAAGAAAATGTTTTGTAGAGTGCAGTTTAAATCTGATACAGTACCAAGCTAAATTTGACTCAATATTCTATATCACAGTGATTTTCAACCCTTTTCAATTTGTCTCCTCATGTCTTCCATTGAA